GTGGTTTATACTATATAGTAACTGTACAGATATGTGTTTCTAGGTGGGTTACTATACCCTTAATGAGATCGAAGACTTAAAGAGATTACTTAATGCAGGATAATACTTGTTCTAATTAGGATATGCCCTTTACTAACTTTTTAGCTACCGCATATTAATAGGAAAAAAAAAATTTTATCAAGATTTAAAAAGGATTAGTGATCTTAACTTAATCTATAAGATATGAGTCTTTGTTATAAGTTATATTATAATAGTCACAGGTTCAGACTTCAGCTAAGGCATAAAACTAAATGATTTTTATAAGAATTTATATATAATTGAACACATGAATGTTTAGATTAATAAACATTAGATACTGGTTGATCAATCTGTTGATTGACGTTAATCATATCTAAATACTGGATTTGAAGAATATGTGAATGCAAATGAAGTTAAGATCAACAGAAGCTTAGTTTTATTAACAGGTCTGTAATGAATACTATCTTATGTCTTCAAATTCAAGAGTCCTTACACAAATAAGAAAGTGATTAACTAGTAATTAGTAGATTTAGGTTCACTGCAAGAAGGCATAATACCTAAGGTAATAATAGACTGTATTGCACGTTACAGTATCTTTCAAATTGAATCATCACTAAGGTTAAAGGCTGTATTTGATTTTCAGATGAATTTAATACTATGAGTACAAAATTATCATTATATAAAGAATCTGATCCTATAGTCTCAATAGTTATTAATAGGATAAAACCCTATAAATTAGATTGGTAAAAATAGGATCTGACAAGCTTTATGGTTAAAGTAAGCCTTATATCTAAAGATAATAGTACTAAATAAATTCTAGTGAGCCTTATATTGAGAACTAAAATATTGCAAGATAGTCTATACTAGGTGGTAATTATACTGGAATATATTTCTAGGTGAGTTGCCATATCCCTTAAATAGAATTAGAGACTTAAAGAGATTATCTAACATAGGATAAAACTTATCTTAATTAAGATATACTCTCTGCTAATCACCATTATACATTAATAGTAAAAAAAAATTTTTTTAAGATTTGAAAGAATTGGTGGTTTTAGCTTAATCTATAAGATGTGAGTCTCTATTGTAGGTTATATTGCGATAATTATAGATTTAGACCTTAGCTAAAATATAAAATTAGATGATTTTTATAAGAATTTTATATATAATTGAACATGTGAATGTTTAGATTAATAAATATTAAATACTAGTCAATTGATCTATTGATTGATGTTAATTATACCTAAATATTGGGTTTGAAAAACATATAGATATAAATAAAGCTAGAGATTGACAGAAACTTAGCCTTTGCTAATAGGTCTATAATGAATACTGTCTCATATTTTTAAACTCAGAGACTTTTATACAAGTAAAAAAGTGATTAACTAGTAATTAGTAGATTTGAGTTCACCGCATGAGATATAATGCCTAAGGTAATAATAGACTGCATTACACATCACAATATCTTTCAAATCGAATTATTACTAGGGTTAGAGACTAAGTTTAATTTTTAAATGAATTTAATACTATAGATATATAATTATCATTATGTATAGAACCTGATCTTACGATCTCAATAGTCATTAATAGGTAAAACCCTATAAATTAGATTAGTAAAATTAGGACTTGATAAGCTTTATGGTTAAAGTAAGCCCTCTATTCAAAGGTGATAATACCTAATAAGATCTAATGAGCTTTGTGATAAGGAAATAAATTGTTGCAAGGTGGTTTATACTAGGTAGTAACTGTATAGGAATATGCTTCTAGATAGGTTACTATATTTCTTAAATGGAATTAGAGAACCTAAAGAGGTTACTTAACATAGGATAAAATTTGTCTTACTTAGGATATGCTTTCTACTAATCTCTAGCCACCGTATATTAATAGTAAAAAAAAATATTTTTAAGATTTAAGCTTTAAAATAAGTATAAGATTATGGTTTTAATATTTATAGTTTGATGAGATATAGCCTTTTAAAAGTAATCAATTACAATTATATTTCTTTTGATAGTTAGTGTATTAATATTATCTATAATGTACTTATTTTAATATGTAAAAGTATTATAAATAATTTTATTATAAAAAATATGATATACTAGTTTAAAGTTGTTAGCTTTAAATAATATTTTTTTTAATTTTAAAAACATTTTCTTTTTATTAATTAAAAAATAATACTAAAATAAATTATTATAATTAGTATTTTATATGTTAATAAAATAGAATATTATAATATATTTATAAATTTTTTATTCTATATAATAATTATTTTATATTAGAAATAATATATAGTAATAATTTTACTATTATTTATAATATTATATATAATATACAGAAATTTTTTCTTATTATTATTTTCTTTCTTTTTATTTAGTTCATATTTTAAAATAATAAGAATTTTAATTTCTCTTATAATATATAATTTTAAATTAGAAATATATTTATCATTGCTATTTTTAATTATTTTCTTATTATATGGGAGATTTCTAAAAAAATCAAGTTCTGAGAAATTTTTGATTAAAATTAATAGTTTAATGCTTTTAAATCTAATAATATTAAAACTAAAATATAATAAAAATTTCAATTTTGTTAAAAAATTTCTAGAACCTAATTTTCCTAGCAATCAATCTATATAAATTTTTACTTATTTATTTAGTATTTTTTTTATTAATATTATCTATTAGCTAAAATGGTATTATTTAAAGAAAATATAAATAGAAGTTAAGCTATTAAATTACTTTATAAGATCTTACCAACTAAAATAAGATTTTAATTTATATTATTATTAAAATTATGTTTTAGACTAGAATAGTTTCTGTTTTTTAGTCTTATTAACAAAGCAAGCAATAACATTAATAAAATTTCTTATTTATTTATGTAATATTAGTCAAAAAATCCAAAATTAGATTTTAGAAATAATCAATATAAAATTTGATTAATATTATTATTTAAAAACTTAAAAAGTGTTCAAACTTTTTTAAAATTCAATACTATTATTAATTGTTTAAATAGATATTTGGATAGAGGTTTGGATATTTAATAATTTAACAAATATTTTTTATTTTAAAAATTAATTAATATAAAAAAATAATTAAAAATAATTTTTAAATATTCATTTTTGATTTTTAATTAATATAAAAATATTGTATTTCAATTTTCAAAATTATTGTTAATAAATTAATGTAATAATATTCTATTGGATAATAATAGCAAAAGTCCCAAGTATTATAAAAACTGATTTTAAGTATACAAAAATTAGCATAATATGTCTTGTAAAGTAATATCTTATTAATTAATTTGACTCTATATTTAAAATTAAAACAATTTATTATTGGTTGAAAATGTATATTATGGTGTAGCATTTCTTGATCATCATTTACCCAGAATCAATTTCTTATACCTAAAGCAGTGATGTGCATTTTATGCTTCTAATAGTATAAAATTTGATTTGAAGCTTTCAACCCAAATGAATTTTTAAAAAATTATGCTTACAATCCTTTAAAAGTGCTTCTAAGAATGCTTTCAATCTTTAAAATGCACATCACTACACTAAGGTGATTTTAATAGCTTAACTTCCAACTTAATAAAGTTGTTATTTTGCTAAGTTGTATTTAAATTCGAAGCATTTATTAAGAGCTTCTTACCATAAAAATTTATAATTTAAAAATCCATTTATTATTTAAAAAATCAAATTTTCTCTCATAAATTTACGTATATATTTGTTGTTAAAGTTATAATATTCAGCTTTACTTGTAAGAAGATCTTGAAAAAAACTTAGTTTTAAAGCAAAAATTCATGCAAATGTAAAAAAAAAAAGTAATCGCCTAAACGAAAATCAATGGTTGGATTTAATTAAAATATAGTTAATGATAGAGTATAGTAACTCATAGTTACACAAAATTTTTAATATGAACTCGCGATGTGTCCGGAAAAAGTTCATTATAAATCCTTATTTCGTACTTTAGACGAAATGGTAACATATTGAAATCTGTAATTCAGTACTTCAATAAGCTGTAATATTATATTAATGTCTAATGTCAATTTTCTAGCCAAAATATACATCAGGAATACAATCTAATCTTCTTTTACCAACGAAAGAATTATAATTTTTAAAAAAAGAGGATATTTACATTAATGAAGCTTCTGCATTGAAAATATAAATAAAAAAAGCTTTAACAAACTTAATTGAGCCAGGAACAATATATTTTTACTCGCGATTTTTCCTAAAAGTCTTCCTTATACATCCATATTACCAAACCAATATAAAAACTCTGTGTATTACCTGTGGATTTTGAATATTTATAAAATTTTTTCTTGTGACAGATTTAGTTTTTTAAATCTGTCCGTTAATTATTAAATTATTAAATTGAAAAAGAAAATTCATTTGTTATATATTATTAAATATACTTTGAAAATTATTATATCATTTTCGATAAGAAAAAAAATTTATGAAATATATTTGTTTCAAATCTTTTTCTTGTTATTTTACAGCTACGTAACAAAGAAATTTTGATTTTTGACTAGTTTATTACATATGGGTATTAAAATTGAGTTACGAATATAGTAAATCTAAATCATAATGATCCGTATATTACTTTATGGCGTGTTTATTGATAAGAATCACATGAATTCATCGTATACTTTTTTTGATTGCGTTTATAAATAACACCCTCTCTCTCATATCAAACATATTTTTTTTATTTTTATTTTAAATCTAAAGCTCGAAAAAAAATATCATAATACTCAAAATTATCATGAATGAACCTTCACGCGATTTCTTTGACGATGTTGAAAATAAAATAAATTTGTTGATAAACCAAAAATCTTCTAATAAAGATGGAATGCAAGGGAACTATTTAGAAATGTTAATGAATGGAATTTTATTGAAAAAGATCTCAATAAGCTGAAGGACGTGGTAGAACAACTATCTAACATTTATGAGAAACAAACAATGAGTTTTGAATATTGCTAATATTATTAATAATAAGATGAAAGAGCAAGAAAAAAAGATTAAACGATTAGAAGCAAAAATCGAGTACCAAAAAGAGATGATCGAACAGCAAGGAGCAGATATCAAACAGCTTGTAGATTACAAAAATCAAATTAACATATACTTATTAAATAATCTATTGAAAAATTATAATATGAACCTTATCGACTATCAGCAATTAACGGATTTGAAGACAGAAAGTAATACTACCTTTCACAAAAATCGACAAAGTATTCAAGAAGCAAGAAAAGTCCTGGATGAAATTGTCTTTCCTAAAGATATGGAAGATCTCAAAAGTACTTTGCAGAAAACTCTAAAAGTTTTAGAAGATTCAGGAATTTATAAATAATTTGAGGTTTATTGTTTTTATAAGAAATCTTTTAATGTAATATGAAACAAATTTAACAAATAGGATTTCTGCTATTTTACTCTTTTTTAATAAATTTTCTTTCATGAGTTGACAATGCTCCTTTTGTTCCTCACCTCAATATCGCATTATAACATAATTGACGAAAGTTGGAAATGAATTTTGAAGTTTCGCCGCAGTCTCTCTCGGAATACATTTTAATAATTGCAAATTTCTTTTATTTGTATTCTTGAATATGCAAAAGTTATGTCCTCTTTAAGTGCATCACGAAGCTTTTCAAAATTATCAATTCCGGTTTGGAGTTTGATGGTAGTATTAACTAATGAAATTGCTTTACTTTTATTCGCATCAATTTTAGAAATGAAATTTGCTTATACGTTTTTAAATAATAAGTAAATTCAACGGGAATTCTTGATAAATTTAATAAATTATTGTATTTATACAAAAATTATTGATACATTTTAAATTTGGTCACTCCGACATAAATATAATCTTACACCCTTTTTTTTATTTTAAAGATATATTAATAGCGGCTGTCCAAATTTATATAAAATTTATTAATATTTTAAAAAATGTAGAATTGTTACAATTGAAGTTCATAAAAATTCTGACGTCAAAATATTTCAAACGCATAAAATTATCATTCAGTTTTACTTTCTTAGAACTCTATATCAATAATAAATTACATTAAATTATTTTAAATTAATTAACGATGTTTCGAATCATATTAATTAATTTTAAAGTTACTACTAATTTTTAGCTCCACAGTTGTTTGTTATAGCGATTTACGTTCAAAAATTGCGCATTTAAATTTTCCCGCTGAGAACTTTTTAAGCTGCACGATGATAATATGTTAAAATCAAGAAGTTGAACAACAAGGCTTTTGACTTTTACGGGCCGCCATAGTTAAGATTTTTGTCAACACTGTATGATATACATTTATAGTAGTATTTTCTAATTGAACCACATTTCTCCAAAATGGAACTTCCGATATATGATGGAAATATTCACCCAAATGAATGGTTAAAACAAGTTCAAGCATACTGTTTTTTAAATAAAATTACAAAAGATGAAGAAATCCTTAAATTTACAATAATATTGATTGATTCTACAATTAAAATTCCTGAAAAGGTAACTTCTTTTGACGAACTTATTAACGCATTAAAACAAGATATTTCATACTCAATCTTTAACGTACAAATAAAAATTTACAGTTATTAAAATACATTCCCGAAGCACAAGGCGGTGAAACTTCAAAATTTATTATTACATTTCGCGGACTTTTGCCGTGATGCTGAAATTAGTAATTTACTAGCACAAAAGAAATACCTTTATGAATCAATTCCTAATAATATTTCTTCTTCGAAACGAATTGTAGAAGAAAATGGAAAATGTTAATTCAACAAGTGAATTGATTGATGAATTTGGAAAAATTTTTATAGATGATTCAAAAAAAAGGATCTCTTGTAGCTTAAAACACGTAGCTACAGGAAAATATTTAAGTTCAATTAAGGATTTACGAAATACGACTGGAAGCAGTGTCAAATAGTATGTCTTTAATAGATATTAGATAAAATTTTATTCATATATTTAATAAATTTAGGTTTTTGCAAATAATTGTTTTAACTCTGATGCTTTATGGAGAATCTCATTTGAGTGTATGATATTCAAATGTACATACAACACAAATTTATTGGAATTCATGATATTTTTATTCAATTTAATTTTTTAAAAAAGTTAATTTATATTTTAATTTATTTTAGTAAGCTGTGTTAATCAATCAAAATGGAAGTTTAATAATAGTAAAATAGACAATTATCAAGGATATTTGAAATCAAATGATATTGTTAATCTTAGTAATAATACCAATTATTTTTACCAAGTCATGATTTTCAATTTACTTTCTTTTCAAGAGGTTATCTTATTATTTAATTTAATAACTTTTTTAATTAAATATGTCTTTTTTCTTAGTGGTGAATCGAGCTCATTAAGAGGAATTAAAAATTATTATCGATAATATTCCTTGCTATTTTTTAAACTATTTTAGTTCCGTCTTTAAAGAGCAGAGCAAACAAGTTGCGCTAAAAGAGACAAACTACAAATAAAGTTTGCTACATCATATCTGAAGAATTAGAATCTTTTAAATGCAATTAAATAAGTTCAAGAAATTTTGGTTTTATATTCATAAGTCATCCTGGTCTGAACGAATAATCAAATAACTTAAAAATATTGAAGTAAACGATCAAATTTAAACGGAATTTATATTGCTATTGCTAAATTAATTTTAATCATTTTTTGATTTATTTTAATCATATTTACTGCACAAATTTGAAAATATAATTCTAAGGACTTCCTGAAGAATAAAATTATGACCTGAAAGTACTGTAAGTGAACTCCATACAAAAGATCGCAAATAAAGTATTAAGCCATTTGTCTATTTTTCATTTAAAGGAATAGAAATTTTGTTATAGAGGAATTTTGACCAAAAATAGAATATTAATCAATGAAATTTGATTATCAAAAAGAGTTAATTTGTAGGTAAAAAAAATTCCTACCATGAATAAAAAGAAATGTTATTTAAATTATATATTTAAAATTTTATTTTGCTTTTTCCATATTAAATATCTAATATATTGATAGCTGTATGACAGATTAATCATGATCACCAGATGGTATGGTGACCATACCATCATACCATAAATCATTGATGGCTTTTTTTAAAAAAAATTCTATCCAAGCGGCGGTTCTCCTATTATTGAAAGTAATTCTTTTCTTTTAGCTGATTATATAATTTAACATAGCAGAATATATGATATATTCAAGTTTATTAATAAATGATGTTAATTCGGAAATCAATTTTTACTTGGCTGTCATACATTGAAAAAAATAATTGATTTCGCTTTATCTTCTTGATACATCTTACATTACAAAAGTTATCTAATAAAAATTAGTTTTGGCGTAACTAGATTTTTTTTTTGTCTGATCACATTCAATTAAAGAAATCATTATATAAATTTATTTTAGTGAGTAAATTGAAGTTATAATAAAAATAAAGTTTTATAAATTGGATTTTTCATTGTATGAATGATACATTCTAAAAAAAAATCTTATTTGTAATATTCCGCGCTTCAATTATTTTCTAAAATTTAAAATTATTTGTTTGTGTTTATTACTTAGCCTTGGAACCTTAATAATGCGTAAATTTGAAATTCTATTTACACAATTTATTCAATTTCCGATTTTTTCTCTAATGTATTTTACAATTTCTTTCTATAAAAAAATCTCTCCCTTAGCATTATAACTTTGGAAATCTGTGGAGATTCTTAATTTCAATTGAATATTTCATGATTACTTCCCGGTTACCTTTTATCCAGGAATCTTTATTCTATTTCATGATCTGGTCCTTTTACAGTATGTCCTTCAAAAAGAAAGATTTTGGATTGATTTCTTCTTCATAATACACACCTTTCTTCTGGTAAGGCATTTACTGTGCAAGTTATATTTATGCCCTTAATTCAACGAGATTTATGGTGTGTAGATTCCATTTATTCGGTTAATGGATGTCTACCTTCAATACGATCAACGTCAATTGTCATTTAAATCTTCTCTATTAGTCCTATCATTTTTAAAGTGATTTTAGAAACAAGAATATTTTACGTTAGTCCGCCTTGTATCGAAACAGTAACGTAACGGTAGAACCAACTGATAATGTTTATTGGACAGCCATTTTTATGTTATATCATTTGTGTTAATTTTGTTTTCTAGATTAAACAAAATACCAGAAAAAAAAATCATAACGAAACCTTGGTCGCGTTGGATATTATCCTGTATAATTTCATTTATTATGTAATTATTTAAATGGATAGTGTACAAAGAATTATAATTATGGTAAACGAAATGGTAGTATCGAAAGTCGAAGTTCGTATCTTTGTGTTATTTGTTCAAAAGGAAAAAGAAGATTAAAGAAGGAACGATGTGGAAAATATTATAAATCAAGTATAGAAACAAAATAAATAAAAATTATACCTTGCTAAATGGTTCTTGGAAAATAACAATAATCAAACCTTTAGCGACATAAACCTGTTAAAAGTTTGTTTTAGAGACCAAAATGCTTTCTTTTCGACAACGAACAATGATTATGATCATGTCACGTGACTCGATTTTTAAGCTCTGTGATCATTTTGCAAAAAGGACATTCTAAATGGTTTAAAAATTACATTCGTATGTATTGTTCTTTCCTTCTGATGGGAAATTCGGTGCCACGTATTTTTTGGTGCAATATTTTAACATTTTGTCTGTGTTAATTTTCTTAACGTTTATTATATGTGACACAAGGTAATTATAAAAAGAAATTTTTTTATTTGAAAGAAAAAATGTTTTACATATATTTATTATGTTATGTTATCGTTAAAAATAATAAGTAAAGAAAATATACAAAATAGGGTTGATAGGTCATGAACATAAAATTTGCCTGGTTAGTTATTTCAAAATCTTGGTCTAACCTTAACGAACAATTCAGGACAAGCGGTTAGAGCGGTTGACACAGTTTTTAAAGGAGATTCCATATCTACTAAATCAATTTCATACTTTCTATACAACAAAGCCATCAAACAAATTAATTCAATCATTGCCAACTTTCTTCCCGGACAGATCCTCAACCCTCCACCAAACATGATAAAAGAATATTTCTTTGGCTCGAAACCCTTAACCATCCACCTATCAGGATTGAACTTTTCAGGTTCTTCCCAATAATCATGATGTTTGTGAATAGTAACGGCGCTCACATGAAAGATTGTACCAGCTGGCCAATTATAACCCGCAATTTCATCAGGTTCCTGACAATACCTCACCACCATATTCAAAACCGGAAGCACACGATCAGTTTCTTTTACGATCGCTTCACAGTATTTTAGTTTATGAAAATCGTCTTCGGTGATTGGACGCGTTTTATCACCTTGGAAAATTCCATCAATTTCTTCCAACATCTTCTTCTTCACATCCGGGTTATGTGCGATATAATAAATAATGAATGTAATCATATTCGCGGTCTACAATTGAAAGAAATATTAAAAAAATTTTTTAATCATGACAAAATGATATTTGATCATAATACGCTTACCGTATCGGTCCCACCGATAAATGCATCAAACATGATACCACGGATTTCAAGATCAGTCATAGGTCTGTCCATCGCTTCACCTTCAACAGTTTTAACTCGATTGATGTCGCGAGTGGTATTCGCCGTGATCACCGAGGTCAGCATATCATGTGATAAAGGTTTATCCAACGGCGTGTTCTCAATTTCTTGTCTGCGTTTCTTAATAATGTGCTCCATTCTTTGATAGATGAATCCAATGTTTTTAAGTAAAGCGTCCGATCTACCCTTAATAAATGGAACGTAATGTCTGACAAAAGGAGGAAATAATATAAAAATTGGCGCTCCTATAATGTGTTTACGAAATGCTCGAACGAATGTTTCAGAATCATCAATGATCGCTTGTGGATGTACGGCTTTCTCATCGCCTTGAGTGTTAAAGTATGCAGCCATCGTATAAGATCTCTCACCGGTTGTCAATGCGATAATCATATCATTTGTATAACGATTTAACCATGCGGAAAAATCCAATTTATTTTTATTTTCTTTAATGAATTCCTCTTTAAGATATAACTTGTTCCAATAACTTTCCAACTCGTTGAAAAGTTTATTCGTCCAATCAATAGCCTCATGAGTAAATTTCGGTGCAAAAATTGCTTGATTAAAAAATTGACGATTAAATCTCCAAGATTTCAAATCATGATTCGCAATCAACCCTCTTCCCATCATTCCTAATTCTGCAAATCCCTTGTGGTAAGGAAATCTCATCATAAATTGACTATTTGTTGAAGGCATCAATAGTTTTTCGGCATATTCTGCACGGCTAAGCATAATGCGTCGAACTCCCAAGTAAACTTCGTAAATGTCACCATATTTCTTTTGATTATATTCAAGAAATTCTTTGAAATTTCCGCCAAAAATTAATGTGAATTGAGGTACGTTCCCAAAAAATGGGAATGGGAATGGACCAGGTAAAGGATTCACGCGAGTGAAATACTTGTAATAATATTGCGCCACGTAGATTGCTAATACGATACCTATTAATGAAAAGTAATCATGAATTGCAAATTTTTCCAATAATTTATGCAAAGACATAGTTGAAAAAGGGATTCTTTTTTTTTTTGGATTTGAAATCAAAGGATTTTTAAGTGGGGGAATGTCCAAAAAAATGGTGTCTTTATTCAAAAATTAAATTATCGCATGATCTTCGTTCCTGCATCATAAGGTGACACGGTAACTACCGAAAATTAGCCGAGCCAGAGATGCAATTAATTTTCGGCTAAATTTTTGCCGAAAAATCAAAACCATGATGTAAATATTACTTTAAAAAGAAATAAATGTATGTTTGATAACAACAAAGCAAGCGTTGTTCCAATAATTCATGCACGAGCTCGACGAAAGTATGACTTCGTTCCTTTCTATTTTTATTCATTTATTTGTATTTGGTCGCATTGATAATAACATATATTTATTCGCTATGTAATACATGCCATCATTAAAATAAAAATTATGTTTCAATTCACCTGCCTGTCATATTGTATCTGTCATAATGTATCGCTTAAACTTTACATGAAAGTATTTTCTGTACGAGAATAAAATGAAAAGCGTTAACTTCATAAATTATTACTTTTTAATTATTGAATCCATAATACTACTTCCATTAGAGCCATCTCGTTCATAATTATGAAATTTTTTTATTTAAATATTAAAATGTCCAATTTCAATATTATTTACTAATCGAAATCATTTTTTTTAATTCAAAAAATTTATTATAATTGATCTTCGAGATACATAAATAAATATTCTTTTTGAACTAACGGGACAAATTAAATAATAATTGTCTGAATCGGATTAATGAATCACAGTATTAATTAATTAGTCACGATTGAAGCAAACCGAAGGATTCTTCTATACGGTTAAGGACAACAATTATCAATATACTGCAAACGCAAAATAGATTTTTATCATATAATTTATAAGTTTTAAAAGTTTTGTTAAAAATATTTTAGTGGAACCTTTTCATTCAAAGTGATGATGTGATAAAAAAGTATTCTTTATTTCATACTGTTTAATTAATAATTATCGAAGAAAACAAAACGCCATTTTTTTCCTAATCTGTCCGGTACACATGATTCCTAAAAAGAAGAGATCCTCGAACATATATTTTTTTCTTATTCCGCCCCATTTTTGGTGAGAACTACTCCGCCGTTTTAGGAAGAAAAATACCTGCGATTTTCTTCTTAGGTCTTCGAGTAGACTTCTTCCTATTACTCCTAATCGATTACTTAATCGATTATCCTAATATCTAGGATCTAGTAAGCCCATCCTCCACCCTAGCGGATCCCTCCCTTTTAAATATTATTTTAATGTAAATGATCAAATCTTACCAATATAACCTTTTAAATCACCTCTTCGTGACCTTTATATTTCGAATTTCCTTCTAAAGGAACACATCACGATTTCTTAAGCTTGGAAAATAAAAGATACTTTATTCATATGAAAAAATTTCAGAAACTCCAAATACAATCTTCTTCACTTGAAGATTCGAAATTTCGTTTTTTTTTTCCCAATCACAAACCCCCAAAAAGATCCAATAATTCCCCATCCTATATTTCATATAGTAATATACTGGGGTATTTCTCAGTCAAAATGAGATAATGAGTAAATTTTTCATTTGTAACTGAGCCATAATTTATTTTAGTAACATTTTGATTGCAATTCGTAAAGTTGAATTTGAAAAAAAATCTCTTTTTAATTTCATTATTTTTTTTATTAAAGTAAAAAAAAAAAATCCTTTACGATCTCAAAATATTTTTTATTTTCCAATCACACTCCAAAAATGCGAAGAAAAAAAAATTTTTTCAATGATTTTCCCATGTATTCGATTACATGATCCATTCGATAAAATAAAAATATCTTCCACATCCTTAATTTTTTTTTAAAGTGAAAAAAAAAAGGAAATCGTTGTTATTCATAAAAAAAAAAAACCTTCACTATGCCTTCTAAAATAATGACTATGTTACAATGCTTCAGAAAGACAAACGAACGAATATATCATAAAAGAGATTACCGGCATTACCAGACTCGATGAAGAAGATTCAAATAAGATCGCATTTCTTCAAATCAAAGCATTTCTTCCAATAAACCTAACCACTAAATCACCAATTGAACATTACGAAACTGGTAATATGATCTACCTGAAAGATAAATTTGTAGCTTGCTACAACTCTTATAACATATGTATCAAAAAAATTATTTTCTCTTCCTTTCCCTTATCATTATTCTCTACTCATCTTCTAATTTCACCCTCTCCCTTCAAAGGTTAATACAACTTCAATTAAACTTATAGATTTGATTATGACAATTTTCCCATCATAGGATTAAATGTCGTGGTTTTAGGTGTTACTACACAAACAGTTAAAATTCTAAATGGTATTTCCACTTTAAAATTTTTCATAGAAGAAAGACTAGAAGAAAGTGAACTAAAAGATTATTGACTAGAAGTAAGACACAAGTCAGATAATTCATACCTCGCTAATAAAACATGCGATCAAACCAAATGATAAGATCTACAACGACAATACTAGTAGGTTTTATAACCTACGAACTTCTGACCACCAACTCTGAAACATCAGAAGAAACCTCAGAGAAACATGTTTTAGAATTAGAGAATATATCCTTGATCTCAACCATCTCGCAAAACTGTATGAACCCTTACTCCATAACTCTCTCCTGGAATAATTCACAGTCTAATAGTCCTACACATAGCCCAAATAAGGTAACCTGTGATATGATCTAAAAAGTATGTCTAAAAGTGTCTGTACCATATTAAGACAAATGAGCGATATCACCATCACCAGTCCAAATAATCGATCTTTAGCAGCAGCATTAGAAGTCAACCCCTTACTACAAGAACCACAAAATTAACAAGACTCGCAAGAATTGCAAGAATCACAATAATCCTCAAAAAAAATCTTTTATTTGTAATACCTAATTCTTTAGAATATTCTATTCTTAAGTAATCTCTGCATAGCATATTTATCATATTTAATTATCAAACTAGCAGAGAGATTTTACATATTATCTTCTTCTATTATAAGGAATTTATTAAATCTTTGACATCAATAACCTCTAAACTAACTTCTCAAATATTAAGATATCCGAACTACTTCTGAATTAATTTTTTTTTAGATACTGAACAAAATTTAATTAAAGTATTAGATAAAGTATTTAAAAGTTTGTAAAATTAATTTAAAAAACATTAAACCTATATTTTTCTTACATGTAAATGACAAATTTTTTAAAATTTCATTTATTTTAGCATATTAGCTTCCTTCATTTCTTTTTCTACACATATATTTTGTCTCTATTATTTTTTTATATGTTTTTAATAAAAGCATTTTTATTTGCATAAATAAAAAGTAGTATCTACAATATATCTTAAATAAAAAATCTAAATATAAATTTTGAAGATTCTTTATTTTGATATTTTGTATTCAAATCACTGCCCTGAAACCCCTATTCATCTTAAGTTGAAACTTGTTAAAAATAAATAAAATTTTTTTTCTTTGTTAATAAAATCTAGACCATACAGAAATAATAAATACATTCTTATAGTTACCTAAAATATTAAATCTAACCTAATTTTCTTTATTTAATCCCATCAAATCCCATCAGAATTTTTATTCAAATCAAGAAATATATCTAAAAATAAAAGATAATCTTAATAATAAAAATATAAAAGCCTCCAATTTTTTATTTTAAAAACTCAGATAAAAAAAAAGATTAATCATTATAATGATAAAAAAAGACTCACTATGACTCACTAAATAAATAATATCTACCTTTTCAATAAAAATTATGAAACTTTAGATTTCAACATTCTTTAACCTGACTCAAATCATGCATTATCCTCAACCCTTAATAACCTTATTTCAAATCTAAACCTAAACTATTAAATTGATCTAAAATACCCTATCAATAACTATTATCTAAGTTGCAAAATCTATATAATTAATTTTAGAAAAATATCTTAAATAATAATCCTGAACCCTTGCTTATACTGTAAAAGTTTCTATACCTAAAAATCTCTTGATTATTTTATAATTCTTCAAATATTTATTAATATAATAACATATACTAAATATTAATATTTTAACATTATTTAACTTTAACTTTAACTATAACTTTGAATATAAAATTCTCACTTATGAATCTTATAAAAAACTTTCATAAGATTTTTCTATTCTCATTTTTTACCAATACTAGAAGAAATTATCTTTATCTTTTTATATAAAAAATATACTTATCATCTGTTTATCTTTACTATATCTTAATAATAAATCTAAATAATAATCCTTACACTGAATATAAAAGTCTAACTAAAACTATAGATTATTCTGCAATATCAAAGTATATACTTTATATTTTAAAACTTCAGGTATTATTTTAGAATCAAATGATAATATTACTAATAATTTAATAGAACAGTCAACTTAAGATCTAATTTTACAATGAACTACTATCTGATTAATTTAAAACAATCCCTACCTTCAACCTTTTGCTAACCTATTAATTAATACCTAATAATAAAAAGATCTAAAAGAATTTTAATTAGACTAAAAAAGAAAAAAATCAAAATAAAAAATCGTTTATTTATTTTTAAGATCTCTTATAAAGTTTCAGATACTTGAATAACTTTATATTCTTTGGTTATAAAATTTGATTTCACTTGATTGGATTTTTAAACTGGTACTAATATTATTATTTGAACTTTTACTAATATTTTAATCATTAGATATGAATTTTTGATTTTTTCAAAAGAAGATTCAGTAAATAGTTGATTTAAATAGATTTATAATAGAATCACAAGAGATAATCATAGTTTAATTTTATTATTTTTTACTTATAACTTTTATTTTTTAATTTTATTTATAATATTTATAACATAAATTAATAAACTTATAATAAGTACTACATTAAGAAAAAAAATACTTAATAATAAATATAAATAAATCTTTTTTATAGTTAAACATATTTTAACCCATCTCTTGTTAACTTATATGACTTAGTATATTCTTTCTAATAAAATTCATAATAAAGATTTTACTATATCAGATTAATAATAAGATTTATTTAAGAAGTAAATAATTTAAAGATTTCTATCTCAAACTATGATCTAAATCTATAACCTTTACTTTTTTCAAACTTTTCATTAATGAAAAACATTACTTTTATAATATATCAAATCAATCTGAATCTGATAATAAAACTTAGATAAAATTTATGAAAAGTATATAAATTATACTTAATAAATTTAAACTCTAGATGAATATTTTATTAGCCCTTAAGATCCTATATATAACTGAAAAAAGTTAAGAAATCACTAAAATATCTAAAGAATATTTTAATAATCTCTACTTAATCCTAATAATAGAAATAATTTATCAATAATAAGAGATCTATTCTAACTTAATACCTATTTATTATATAATAATATTAATGTATCTAAAACTATTTCTATCCCTTCTTTTATAAGAACTAAAAACACTTATTTTTATAAAAAATAACTTTATAACAATTTCTTTAAATCTTAATCCTTTATCTTTTTTTAAAATTTTAAAAAAACTATAAAAAAAATAAATTCTATTATATTATATTAATTTTCTAAAATAATAATAACCTATATATTAAATATATCTTAATATTATTTTCAATCAAAATTAAAAATAACATTTCAAATTTACCAAAAATTTTACTAATAAATTTCCATTTATTAATCTTTAAAAAATTATTTTTAAAAAAAAATAATAATATAATTATAAAAATACTATATAATGTAACTATAAAATATTTTTTAATAAGTTTATTAATAAAAAGAATATAATTATATAGGAGGTTTGCTATTAAAATCAAGATATGAATATAGTAAATCATATGATCTATAACGTGATTTTAATAGTTTACTTTTCATATATAAATATATATGACTTTATTATATATTAATAATAAGAAATTAATTTATCTTTTTTTACAAAAATGAAAAAATTAATATTATAAAATTTACATAATTTATAAAATATTTTATTTTTTTAAAATCATATTTTAATCATAAAATTCTTTAATCTGTTTTTTTTAAAATACTTCTATTAATATTTACTTTTAAATTTTTTTTAATATATAAAAATTTCTTTTTTAAAAAAATAAAATAATTTCATTTACTTTTACAAAAAAATTTTATAAAGTCAATTATCATTTCAAATAAAAATTTATCTATTACAATTAACTTATCTCCTTTATTACGAATAACAAATATATTTATAATGTTTATAATTTTTAAAAAATTAATAAAGTCATTCAAATTCAAATTATATAATTTTCAACCAATTAGGCTGAGCAAAAAAATTTTTAGATTCTCGTGACATAAAATTTTAAAATTGACGTGGTCATCTGGTTTTTTTTTATATATATAAACTTTCTTTATATGTATTTTATATTATGTTTTGTATTACACAAATAGTAAGGTAAATGAAGAATATTACTATTATTATAGTGAGTGTTATATGACTGACAGTTTCTGATAAAAAAAAGTGCTTTTTTTTTAAGTTGCAGTATTCGGTACAAGGGAATCGTTAAACAGATATTTTAAGATGTTACTCTTGACATCCTATGACCCCTACTAGATCGTGATTAGACACATAGTTCTAGCTAGAACTTATCCTGTAATACTGGTCTGAAGATTGTCATCTAGGTTGACATTTCCAAGAGTAGCCCTCAGGATCCTTAGACCTCAGAATCACTGTCAAATATGAATAGAGGGATCACTTTCAGCTACAGGTACTTTTGTCAATTTTTCACTGTGTTTACCAACACCATATCTGGATACTATTACCTTTACCCAGTATCAGGATATTTTACACATGATCGGAAAGGCTTAGACTTTGTTTATCTTATAGAACCTCAGAAAGGTAGATGGCTGTCATACCCATATTGTCAAATTCACCTAGGAATTAAACCTAACCTCTATTTCTAATGACAGCTCGATTGGAGGATGCTACAGCAGTGCAATGTAGTCTATTATTACCCTAGTCACCTGTAGGTAATACCCAATCTATTAATTACTGGTTAATCACTTCCTTACTTGTGTAAGGGCCTCTAAATTTGAAGATGTGAGATAGTACTCATTATAGCCTATCAGCGAAGGCCAGGTTTCTGTCGATCTCTAGCTTTATATGCATCCACTTGTTTTTTAAAATCCAGTATTTAGGCATAATTAACGTCAATTGATAGGTCGATCAACCAATTTCTAATGCATATTAGTATATACGCCCACATGTTCAGTTACATATGAAATTCTTATGAAAATCATCTAGTTTTATACCTCGGCTGAGACTTGAACTTATGGTTATTGCAGTATAACTCACAATAGGAGCTCAGTTGTTACCAACTGAACTAGGGATGCCAATCCCACAAAAAGAATATCAAGTTTCAAATAACAAAAAAATCATGAAAATAGTATGTTAAATTTTTTTATAATAAAGTATGCTATTACGATTTTTCATTATATAAAGTCATGTGATAAAAAATTTTACTATAAAAAAAATCATGAGTTTTTGTAAAAATTGAAGGCGGTCGATCAGATCACGAGAATCTAAAAAATTTTTTTGCTCGGTCTTAGCTTCAAAATTTTTAAA